TTGGCAATGCACTTCTTTGGCAAGAGGATACAGGTAAAAACTTCCATATTGATTCACATGTATCACTTGGCTGTCAAGTCAGTGTCAAACATGCTTTAGGGAGCACATATCTTTTTGGTCTCAGGATTGCTACAAGTTCCTCTAATAGTTTCTTGCATATACTGTACTTTTCTATCCATTAGCACAAGCCAAAAGCCTTCCCTTGTTGAACTCTGCAGTGGGTAGGGGGGATGGGAATAAGAAAATTTAACATTCAAGGACTTTTGTGCTCCGCTAGGAACCATCTGCATTTATTGATTATACAGAATCTCTAGTATCAAACTGGGGATGATTCAAAGTGTTACCAGTGATAGGGCAAAGTATTCTCTCCAGGGCTTGCTGAGTCGCTAATATGCTACTGGGAAGAAAGCAATGGTAATACTTATGCTAACTACACTTGAGGAACCCTGCAGAATTTTCTTGAAATACCATTATGCTAATATTATATGCAATATTTCACAACATTGCTTTGCAATAAGATAGTCCTATTGTTTAAAAGGTTTTGCCTCATCTCCTTTAACCTTTTCAGGGTTGGTGCCATACTAGTACGGCTTGCACTCCAGGGTTGGTGCCGTACTAGTATGCATAAATTCTAGTGCCTTCAAATCTAGTGAAAGCTGGTAGGCCTACATATTAGAGAATGGGTCTATGTGGTCAGTGTGCACAGTATAAAAAAATCCTGCAGCACACAGTGCACAATGAGAAAAAAAAACTCCGACCGTGTTTTTGCTTTAAAACAGCGACTTTGCAGTGTATTTTTGTATGCTATTTATGGTTGTATTCTAGTTTTCCTGGTCTCATTTTATAAAATGGAAGACATATTACAGAAATTGAGATGATTTTGATTGGTCTCACAATGAAAAGTACCTTGAAATTGAGCTCAAAGTAGCAGAAATGTTTGATTTTTGCCAAAGTTCAAAAGTAAACAAATCATGCCACACGTCCAATACACGTCAACTGGCAAGTCTAATATTCTTTCGCAAGTGCGCTGATATTATTTATACCATTTATACACTAATGCAGTAGTCTGCATAACAGTAAATCTTCTATTTTTTTGTGAGAATAAAAATTCAAAGGGGCAAGCAAAAGAAATGTAAGAGAGGCCTGGGGATGTGACTAATGAACAGAAAAAAAGTTATTTTAGTGCCAGGAATGTCTGTCTTGTTTATTCTGAACCCTATTTAGAAATTGGCATCTTTTGAAATTTGTGTGAAATTGGCAAAATTGCCAATTTCTGACCACTTTATTGGATAGTTGAAATTGGTAAATGGGTGGTTTCTTGTACTCATTCGATAGAAAAAAATGGAGTTCCAGCGAAATGGTTATGATTTTTGTCGACTGGTACATTGGAATTGGCCGAAAATAGGGCTCAAAGTGGGCAAAATTGCTGATGTGTAAACATCATCGAGATCGCTAACTTCGCGAGAGCATAATTCCATAAGTTTTCCATCAAATTTTATACTTTTGGTGTCATTATGATTGGGAAAAGATTCTCTATCATTTCATAAGAAAAAATAATTTTTTTTTTCGAAAAATTTCCGACCCTGAGAACAAATTGAGGAGAGGGCCTGCTGACTCTGAAAGGGTTAAATATTGGCATGTGTGTTATTTTGCATTTGTCCTTCAGTATACCTTTTGTAATGAAAATTCAAAATTTTTAGTTAAAAGCTTAGTCCTGTCCATTGTTTGAAGACTCTTTGTGCTGTGTTGTCTGGGATATCTCAGTTTCCACCAATTTAGTGATTATTCCTGTCTTAATTTTTGTGCTTTGTTATTCACCATTTCTAAAAACATGACATTTTGTTCTTACCATTTCCAATAGTATTTTAATTTTTTTTAAAGCCTCTCTCCTTATTTTTCTATATTTATTTCTTGTTTGTTTATTGCTCTTGTAAGACCATAGGTTAGCATGTTTCCTGTATTGGCTTCGTTTTTTTTTTGTGGCTCTCCAGCATCTTCCATTAAACTATTCTTTATTGGGTTCCGCACCTGCTGATCTTCTCTTTGTGCAACACCAAATCGCCTTCATTGGCTTAGCAATTTTCTTGATTAAAATTAGTATTTTTTTTTTTTTTTTTTTTTTTTTTGCTGCACTGGGTCTGTTGCACCATGTTAGGGTAAACCAAAACAGAATGTGTCGAGATCACAAATTCATTTGCCATTATTGTAATTATTTAATATTTTCACATGCATCTAATAATAAACTTTAGTTCCCATTACTTGATTAATGCGCCTCGGTATAAATAGTTTTTAAGAAGAAATAAAAAACAAATGGAAATAATTATTGTGGTATTGTTGTGTCTATCATCTTTGCTGATAAGACCACTCTAAGATGTGCTTGAAAAGTTTTTCATACCAGACAGTCCACAGTTAATGTTCCTACAAGTGTTTGGAATTAAGTGTCAAACATTGATGAGTGAGAAACTTCTTGAAAAGAAAAATGAAATGGATAAAAAGAGATCTAGATTTTGGTCTTTGTCAGACTTTTCAGGGTCTCTTGAGGTTGAAATATACTGTACACGTTTCTCATTACCAGTTTCATTTTTTGTATGCAAGTATTTTCTCACTTTCCAATGATCTGTTTAAAAGTTTGTAATATGTATTTTTTTTTATTTCTACTGTTAAAAATAATAAATCTTTAATACAGTGGTACCTTGACTTATGAGTTTAATTCGTTCCGTGACCCAGCTCATAACTCAATTTGCTCGTATATCAGATCAAATTTCCTCATTGAAATTAATTGAAATGCCATTAATCCATTCCAGCAGAATTCCTGGCTCTTGAGAGGAGGAGAAAATACTTCAATATAACGCTAATACAGTAGACTCGTTTAACACGAGTTTATATGGCACAATTTGGGTATAGCACAATTGAAGAATTATGGCACAATTTATACAACACTTCATAAAGTTAATTTAACACGGTTCAGTTTGCAGGAGGGGAAAAAAATTCCCTTTTCCTCAAGCAGCCGCCTTGTGGATCAGTGGGGGAGACCTCCCACCATCTCCTGCCATGCCCCGACATTCCATCCCAGCATTTGTACTTCATACATGCCCAGTTTTACTTCTCTCCTACAAGCTAGCTGTCTTTGTGAATTGTGTTTTGATCTTTTAATTACCATATCTTGTATCTGGCAAGCAATCATGACACCCAGTAGGCATACCAGTGTTGCTGAAAGTGGCAAGGAAAGGTATAAGCATTTAAGTCTTAGAATTAACGAAGAAAACAGAGATATTAGACAAGAGATAACCTGTGGCCATAATGAAGCTTGCTTTGTGCACATAAAATGAGGTAAACCTGAGTTTTTATTGGGAGGGTTCTGTGGAGATATGATGGTTGGAGATAAACACACTTGTTGGGTTGTATTCACTTATATTAGCAGAGTTGTGAGGGGGAAGGCCCAGCCTAGCCTGTTGTAACATGTAGGCCTATCCGTGAACTGAGAAAGGGACAGGGCGAGTCCCACCCACAAGCAGCACTGTGTGACATCACATGTTAGCCGCTAAGTCTAGCAAGGGGTCGTCTATATAATACATATGGATGGTACTATGATACTCAGCTATGCTACGCAACATATACAGGGGATCAGCAACTATGCTGACAGACTGACTTAATGACTTGACTTACTGAATGACTTAGATTTCTCACTGAAGAGGACCCTGAAACGGTGTCTAGAGCAGCTGATGCCTTACCTGTCAATTATATAATGTACTGTAGGGTAAAATAGAAGAGAAATCTATTACAGAATATATGCACACTCCAGTACAACCATCGACTTCAGTACCAGAACCTCTACCATCCACCTCAGTCCAATAGGGCCATAGCATAACTCCCAAATCATCCACAAACACAAGCAACCACAATTTAAGGTAAGAAATACTATTATTCTGTTGCATTTGTAATATTAAGCAGTAAAAACAACAAAATACATCACAACAATGAGCTACGATTACATATTCAATTCTATATTTGTAAGATGTGGAGGCCTAAAAAAAAAGTTGTTTGGCTTTTTTGGGGCTCCCAGGAATGTAACCCTATTTTTCCTATTAGTTCTTCAGTTTATCTAACACGGTTTTATCTAACATGGTGTTTTCAGGAACGTAACTATCGTGTTAAATGGTCTACTGTATCAACTCTAGGGCTTATTATCTATCACAATTGATCTAATATGACATTATAAACACTATAAATAACACAGAAACATGATACATACTCTAGAATGAATAAAATATGTCATTATGTGACGAGTGGTGGCGGCCACTCCCGTGTTAAAAATAATTCTCTCTCTGACTATATCTTTCCATTCTAGCCCTTCTGAGGTCTTATTATAAGAGGAAACAGAGTGTTTGTGAGGCTAACTGCACTAGATCACTAGTTTCACAAGGAAAACGCTGAAACAAAAGCGACTTTCTCAGAATTTTTTTTTTCCTGAGTCGGGAGACTGGCCTATGTTTTGGGTGAATATCCTGGAAGTAAGTCAGCGTACATGCCTCGTGCCTTCTTGCAGAGAAGTACTACTATGCTTGTACTGCCTCGCCAAGTCGACTACACGTACACCTTGCTCATGTTTTTCTGTGATTTCACCCTTTAATTCAATGGACATCCTCCTCCTCTTCTCAGTACTGTCCTTTGCACTTACTTTCTTAGGACCCATGGTTAGAAAAAAGAAATTTGGCAAAATAACCACACAAAATGCAAGCACAGCACAAGAGATGCTTCCATGGCGAGGTAACCATGTGCACTATTGTAGTGTTCGCTGCACCAACTAGTGGCAGTGTATCTGAAGCTCACTCATAACTCAAATTTTGGCTTGCTTCAAAGCAAAAAATCAATTGAGCGATGGCTCGTAACCTGGAAAACTCCTAAGTTGGAGCACTTTTAAATCAAGGTACCACTGTATTTACCTGCAACATACAAGATGAATCATTCATAGGGAAATGTAGAACCACTTTCTTTTTCAGGAATACTCCCTCCAGTTGCAGACAGTTATGCACCAGCCAAATTTCTTATTTGTGTAGTCATGAAGTCTGCCCTAACCATCCCAGTGTCACTTGTCCTTCCCTGGTTGCAAGGTAAGTTAAAATTTTATTTTGTTAATGTGGTACACCTTTGATATACAGTAGACACTTCTGACATTTACATGGGTTTACATTATTATGATAAAAATGAAGCCCTAAACCTACAAGGGTCATACAGCACATGGGTTTACAGTTAGAGAGACTATATGTAGCAGATTTGAACCTCAGCTGTCTTAAGAGGTAACTGAAATATCCCAAGACAAGGTATTAGAATTTAGTACAGAATGTTGATAAGAAAAGCCTTGTTAATGATCTCACATTATAAAATAGTTTTCAAGGTAAGCTTGACAATCAATAATTTCTATGCTGATATCTTTACTCATGAGGAAATTTGAAAAAATAAGAAAATATTTTTAAATAAATGCTATCTACCAATTTATTTTTTTTTTAATTATGCTAGTAGTTTTACAACTACTGTCAGCAAGAATGACCTATAACTTATTTACCATTTTCAGTTTATTCTTGCAAAATTTTCACCTATTTTTTCTTTTACCCCATGGTGCTATCTCATCTGGTCTTGATACTTTTTCTTGTCAGTATCTTGTAGTAGTTTCTTTGCTTTCTCTTTGGATATTTCAATGAACTCTCTTTCAGTTGGTCGTTTGAAGATGAAATCTGCTACACATACTATATTTCGCGGCTTTTTCGATGCATTTTTTTTCCATAAAATGTATCCAAAAACCACCCTGCGTCCTACAAACTGAGGGTCAGTGTTGGGAGCCATAAGTTTGGGGTGTGAGGTGGGCTGTAGTTCTCCCAGTTACATCTGATGCCAAGCCATTGAAACTAAAACAAGTCTTATAAGCCATGAAATATGGTAAAATGTCCTCTACTGTAAACTCACCTTGGAGCAATATACTAAGTACCTCACACATTTAGTCTGCCTTGTTCTTTCAAAGAGGGTACATTGATATTCTGGTGAAGGACTTTTGATGCAAGGAATTGGAGCTACCTTTCCCTTAATTGGATAAAACTATTACCCAACCCTTTCCCAAGGTGCTGTATGACTTCAAGTTTAGTACTTCACGATTATCATAATTCTTCTATAAAAGTAATCATCCACCAGTGACTTTGTGATCATCTCCAATTCTTTGTATGTTACCTTTCACATTAAGTTTGCTTCTTTTATTAACTTTAAAATTTGGTTCCGTTTTATTCTTATCCACTTACTTTTTGTGTCTCATTCTTTCTTCTGTTCATATACTGTGTGTATATATATATATATATATACATGTATATTTTTTCTATTCAACAAACCGGCCGTATCCCACCAAGGCAGGGTGGCCCAAAAAGAAAAACAAAAGTTTGTCTTTTTAAATTTAGTAATTTATACAGGTGAAGGGGTTACTAGCCCCTTGCTCCCGGCATTTTAGTCGCCTCTTACAACACACATGTCTTATGGAGGAAGAATTCTGTTCCACTTCCCCATGGAGATAAGAGGAAATAAACAACAAGAACTAGAAAGAAAATAGAAGAAAACCCAGAGGGGTGTGTATATATATGCTTGTACATGTATGTGTAGTGTGACCTAAGTGTAAGTAGAAGTAGCAAGATGTACCTGAAATCTTGCATGTTTATGAGACAGAAAAAAGGACACCAGCAATCCTACCATCATGTAAAACAATTACAGGCTTTCGTTTTACACTCACTTGGCAGGACGGTAGTACCTCCCTGGGCGGTTGCTGTCTACCAACCTACTACCTAGAATATATTTTTTTATTTTTTTTATTATCACACTGGCCGATTCCCACCAAGGCAGGGTGGCCCGAAAAAGAAAAACTTTCACCATCATTCACTCCATCACTGTCTTGCCAGAAGGGTGCTTTACATTACAGTTTTTAAACTGCAACATTAACACCCCTCCTTCAGAGTACAGGCACTGTACTTCCCATCTCCAGGACTCAAGTCCGGCCTGCCGGTTTCCCTGAACCCCTTCATAAATGTTACTTTGCTCACACTCCAACAGTATGTCAAGTATTAAAAACCATTTGTCTCCATTCACCCCTATCAAACATGCTCACGCATGCCTGCTGGAAGTCCAAGCCCCTCGCACACAAAACTTCCTTTACCCCCTCTCTCCAACCTTTCCTAGGCTGACCCCTACCCCGCCTTCCTTCCACTACAGACTGATACACTCTTGAAGTCATTCTGTTTCGCTCCATTCTCTCTACATGTCCGAACCACCTCAACCCTTCCTCAGCCCTCTGGACAACAGTTTTGGTAATCCCGCACCTCCTCCTAACTTCCAAACTACGAATTCTCTGCATTATATTCACACCACACATTGCCCTCAGACATGACATCTCCACTGCCTCCAGCCTTCTCCTCGCTGCAACATTCATCACTCATGCTTCACACCCATATAAGAGCGTTGGTAAAACTATACTCTCATACATTCCCCTCTTTGCCTCCAAGGACAAAGTTCTTTGTCTCCACAGACTCCTAAGTGCACCACTTACCCTTTTTCCCCCATCAATTCTATGATTCACCTCATCTTTCATAGACCCATCCACTGACACGTCCACTCCCAAATATCTGAATACATTCACCTCCTCCATACTCTCTCCCTCCAATCTGATATCCAATCTTTCATCACCTAATCTTTTTGTTATCCTCATAACCTTACTCTTTCCTGTATTCACTTTTAATTTTCTTCTTTTGCATACCTTACCAAATTCATCCACCAATCTCTGCAACTTGTCTTCAGAATCTCCCAAGAGCACAGAGTCATCAGCAAAGAGCAACTGTGAGAACTCCCACTTTATGTGCGATTCTTTATCTTTTAACTCCACGCCTCTTGCCAAGACCCTCGCATTTACTTCTCTTACAACCCCATCTATAAATATATTAAACAACCATGGTGACATCACACATCCTTGTCTAAGACCTACTTTTACTGGGAAATAATTTCCCTCTTTCCTACATACTCTGTGCCTCACTATCCTCGTAAAAACTCTTCACTGCTTTCAGTAACCTACCTCCTACACCATACACCTGCAACATCTGCCACATTGCCCCCCTATCCACCCTGTCATACTCCTTTTCCAAATCCATAAATGCCACAAAGACCTCTTTAGCCTTATCTAAATACTGTTCACTTATGTTTCACTGTAAACACCTGTTCCACACACCCCCTACCTTTCCTAAAGCCTCCTTGTTCATCTGCTATCCTATTCTCAGTCTTACTCTTAATTCTTTCAATAATAACTCTACCATACACTTTACCAGGTATACTCAGCAGACTTATCCCCCTATAATTTTTGCACTCTCTTTTATCCCCTTTGCCTTTATACAAAGGAACTATGCATGCAATCTGCCAATCCCTAGGTACCTTACCCTCTTCCATACATTTATTAAATAATTGCACCAACCACTCCAAAACTATATCCCCACCTGCTTTTAACATTTCTATCTTTATCCCATCAATCCCGGCTGCCTTACCCCCTTTCATTTTACCTACTGCCTCACGAACTTCCCCCACACTCACAACTGGCTCTTCCTCACTCCTACAAGATGTTATTCCTCCTTGTCCTATACATGAAATCACAGCTTCCCTATCTTCATCAACATTTAACAATTCCTCAAAATATTCCCTCCATCTTCCCAATACCTCTAACTCTCCATTTAATAACTCTCCTCTCCTATTTTTAACTGACAAATCCATTTGTTCTCTAGGCTTTCTTAACTTGTTAATCTCACTCCAAAACTTTTTCTTATTTTCAACAAAATTTGTTGATAACATCTTCACCCACTCTCTCATTTGCTCTCTTTTTACATTGCTTCACCACTCTCTTAACCTCTCTCTTTTTCTCCATATACTCTTCCCTCCTTGCATCACTTCTACTTTGTAAAAACTTCTCATATGCTAACTTTTTCTCCCTTACTACTCTCTTTACATCATCATTCCACCAATCGCTCCTCTTCCCTCCCGCACCCACTTTTCTGTAACCACAAACTTCTGCTGAACACTCTAACACTACATTTTTAAACCTACGCCATACCTCTTCGACCCCATTGCCTATGCTCTCATTAGCCCATCTATCCTCCAATAGCTGTTTATATATCTTACCCTAACTGCCTCCTCTTTTAGTTTATAAACCTTCACCTCTCTCTTCCCTGATGCTTCTATTCTCCTTGTATCCCATCTACCTTTTACTCTCAGTGTAGCTACAACTAGAAAGTGATCTGATATATCTGTGGCCCCTCTATAAACATGTACATCCTGAAGTCTACTCAACAGTCTTTTATCTACCAATACATAATCCAACAAACTACTGTCATTTCGCCCTACATCATATCTGTATACTTATTTATCCTCTTTTTCTTAAAATTTGTATTACCTATAACTAAACCCCTTTCTATACAAAGTTCAATCAAAGGGCTCCCATTATCATTTACACCTGGCACCCCAAACTTACCTACCACACCCTCTCAACAAGTTTCTCTCTACTTTACATTTAGGTCCCTACTACCAACATTACTCTCTCACTTGTCAAAGGCTCCTAACATTCACTTACATCTCCCAAAATCTTCTCTCTCTCCCCTACATTCCTTCTCTTCTCCAGTGCATACAACTTATATTATTGACCACTTTTTCCACATAAATTCTTGAATTTACACATTCAAATCCTTTCCTCCTTCCAGTCCCATATCATTTACACCTGGCACCCCAATCCTAGCCAACCTCTCTAAAATTCCCTTACTTAGCATTTAGTCCCCCCACAATACTCTCCCTTGGTCCCCATCAGCTTTTATTCACTTAGCCAGACATCCCAAATTCTCTCTCATCTCATAACATCTTCTCCAGTGATACACCTTATTATACCCTTTGCATCCAACTTTTACAACACAATCTGTTACACATTCATATTCACTTTCTCCATCATCATTTAACATACCTTTAGAACTTTTTTCTATCCTTTCTAGTACAGTCTGCAGGAAAGGTTATCCCATTCTCCCATCCCCATTTCATCCCCTTCGAGCATGTTCGCTTAGGGCCAGGAACATTCTTTTACTTCATCCATGGACAATAGAAAATCAAGACGAGTTTTTAGTCAACGACTAAACACCCTTAAGCACCCATGTTTTAGAAGTTTTTCCTTCCGTTTATATTAGTATGTCTGCAAGAAGGTTCTAGCTCATGTCCTGGAATTTTGTTCCATAAGACAATGGTTAGGAGAAGATTTCTTTCCCACATTCCCCATGACAATAGAAGAAATAAATAGACAAGATAATTAGAAACGAGAAAAACCTGTGCTATCATATATTATGCATGTGCATGTCTGTGAAGTGTGACCAAAGTGTAAGTAGGAGTAGCAAGATATCCCTGTTATCTAGCGTGTTTATGAGACAGAAAAAGAAACCAGCAATCCTACCATCATGCAAAACAGTTACAGGTTTCTGTTTCACAGTCATCTGGCAGGACGGTAGTACTTCCCTGGGTGGTTGCTGTCTACCAACCTACTACCTAATTCAATAATTCAATTATATTCCTGTCAACAATGGATAAAAGGTTCAATGTGATTGTTTCAGTTATAATGTGGGAGTACATAGGTGAGTAAATGTGTACTGAGTATTTAGCATTTAGTCTAGGGTGATTAAGTGGCTTTTGAGAAGAGTCTTAAATTGATTTTCAGACTGGGTTATTTTAACCCTTAAACGGTCCAAATAGATCGACGTTCAAATTCGTAGTGCTACAAAAGTAGATCTACCTTTTTTTTTACATATTTTCAAATATAACAAAAAAAAAAATGTAGATAAAAGTTTTTTTTTACACGTTTTCAAATGTAAAACAAAAAAGAAGATCTACATTTTTTTACATACTTTCAGATGTTGAAAAAACGTATATATATGTTTGGACCATTTAAGGGTTAATATCTTCTGGTAATGAATTCCATATTTTGGGGCCCTTTATGTGCATAGAGTTTTTACACAGTGTGATATGGACACGAGGTATATCAAAAAGAGATCTGTGTCTTGTGTTGTGGTCATGTGTCCTGTTTAGGTTGGTGAGGAAAAGTTTGAGTGGGGGGTTTATATTTGCGTGTATTGTTCTGTGTATGTAGTAGGCACATGAATAAGTATGGATGCTCTTAATGGTAAGCAGATTCAGACTTTTGAAAATTGGTGGAGTATGCTGGCGGGAGTGGGAATTTGTTATTCTTACTGCTGCCTTTTGCTGGGTTATTAGGTGATTGGATGTTGTTGATCCCCATGCACAAATTCCATTTGTAAGATAAGGGTATATGAGTGAATAGTACAGTGCCAGGAGAGCTGATTGTGGAACATAGTACCTTATCTTTGATAGTATGCCTACAGTCTTGGAGATTTTCTTGGTGATTTGTTGTGCATGTGTCCAGAACTTAAGGCTACTGTCAAGGTGGATACCTAGGAATTTTCCCTCTGAGTCTTGTGACTGATGATCCATTTAGTGTAATGTTAATTGGATCATTTGCAGCTTTGTTTCCAAACTGAATGAAATAGGTTTTATCAGTGTTCAGGGTAAGTTTGTTAGTCATCATCCAGGAAGATATTTTCTGTAATTCAGCATTGACTGTGTTTACTAGTATGACTGCATTTGGGTGGGAAAATACATATGTAGTGTCATCTGCAAATAATATGGGTTTGAGTAGCTGTGATGCATTCGGTAGATCATTGATGTAGATGAGAAAGAGGAGTGGTCAAAGGATGCTTCCATGTGGGACTCCTACTGTGATTGGTTGTGTGGAGGAGTTTGCATCATTTGCATACACATATTGAGTTCTGTTACTAAGGTATGACTTTAGGTAGTTGAGGGAGTGGCCTCTGATACCATAGTGCATTAATTTGGAGTACAGTAGTTCATGGTCGACTGTATCGAAAGCTTTATGTAAATCAATGAAAATGCCCAGTGGGACTTCTTTCTTTTCAAGTGCAGTATATATTAGTTCTAGCATGTGTATGATAGCATCATTTGTGCTTTTAGTTGTGTATAATATATATATATATATATATATATATATATAATATATATATATATATATATATATATATATATATATATATATATATATATATATTTATATATATATTATATATAATATATATATTATAATATATATATACACACACAGTGGACCTCCGATTTATGATCAGCTCCCAATGCGACCAATTATGTAAGTGTATTTATGTAAGTGCGTTTGTATGTGTATGTTTGGGGGTCTGTAATGGACTAATCTAATTCACAATATTCCTTATGGGAACAAATTCGGTCAGTACTGGCACCTGAACATACTTCTGGAATGAAATAATATCGTAAACCGGGGGTCCACTGTATTACACATACATACAGGATGTTTATTTCAAGATTGTTGGAATCTGGTAAGTTTGTTTTGTCAGATGGTGTATAAGATTTAATAGTTTTGCTAAACATGTGTAACTTAACTAAATCTTTTTGTAACATGGTAAATAAAAAAGTATGTATTAACTGAATGTAACTGCCAGTATTATACGTATATATCAAAAATGTATTTAGTTTAATAGTTTGAATTTAAGAGTAGATATATTTTAATTTGTTTAGCTTATTGAAAATTTGAGGAAATATCTTACTAAGAGTTATATATCTGTGCCTTATTATATTGTGATGGCATTTTCATATGTTAAATATTTGTAGTTTAAGAACTACACATGCTGCTTACCCTTTGGTATATCAATATTGCAGGTTTACTGAATGACGGGAGCAGCATTACAGGCATTGGTCTCCCAGTACTGGTGACATTTGGGATACTGTTAACTCAGGCTGTGATGGTACCCTTACTTTTGTTGTGCACCAAATCTTCTACAGCAACTTGTGCTATGGCTTCCCTGCTTACACTTCTTTATTTAGCAATGGTAAATGTATTACAAAAAAAGCTACTGTTAAAAAACACCTTTAATGTGATCCTGACAGCAATCCATTACGCCAAACAAATCCTGAAACCCTGTCTCATCCAATATTGTTCCTGTTCTTGTTCCTGTAGCTCGATCGCTAGCACACTCAGCTTACACACTGAGGTCCAGGGAATTGATATTCGGTATGGGTAGAAACTTTAGGACATGTTTCCATAAGACACCTGCTGTCCATGTTCACCTATCAGTAAAAATAGGTACCTGGGTGTTAGTCAACTGGTGTGGGTTGCATCCTGGGACAAAATTAACCTTATTTGCCTGAAATGCTCTGCATAACAAGGGGCTTTCTATATAGTAGTATGTCATTGATGTCAGCTAGGCTTGTATACCTTGTACATGTAGAAATATAGATTATTATTCTTCCCCTCACAGCCTGGTCACAGACCAGGCTGTGGGGGCATTGTGTCTTGAGACCCTCTCCAGGTATACTCCAGGTAACTCATTACTAGAAAGGCATTCTTTGTATCAATTTCAGTACATTCCTAGCTTCATCCTTAATGTACCTTTAATTAGATTTGTATATTGAATTACTGAATACCGTCATTATAAACTAAGTACTGTAAACTTATTATCATGTAATATATGTGTGCCTCATTTTCAGGTACAGTGGACCCCCGGTTAACGATATTTTTTCACTCCATAAGTATGTTCAGGTGCCAGTACTGACCGAATTTATTCCCATAAGGAATATTGTGAAGTAGATTAGTCCATTTCAGACCCCCAAACATACACGTACAAACGCACTTACATAAATACACTTACATAATTGGTCGCATTCGGAGGTAATCGTTATGCGGGGGTCCACTGTATTTATAAGATAGTTTTAAGACTGCCTGAAGTGCCTTGCATGACAAGGAACTTTTAAAGTAGTTTATACATTCATCAGTATTCCTTCAGTAGCTGTGTCACCAGAAGTGCACAGATTTTTTTTTTTTTTTTTTTTTTTTTTTTTTCAACAAGTCGGCCGTCTCCCACCGAGGCAGGGTGACCCAAAAAAAGAAAGAAAATCCCCAAAAAGAAAATACTTTCATCATCATTCAACACTTTCACCACACTCGCACATTATCACTGTTTTTGCAGAGGTGCTCAGAATACAACAGTCTAGAAGCATACACACATAAAGATGCACAACATATCCCTCCAAACTGCCAATATCCCAAACCCCTCCTTTAAAGTGCAGGCATTGTACTTCCCATTTCCAGGACTCAAGTCCGACTATATGAAAATAACCGGTTTTCCCTGAATCCCTTCACTAAATATTACCCTGCTCACACTCCAACAGATTCGTCAGGTCCCAAGTACCATTCGTCTCCATTCACTCCTATCTAACACGCTCACGCACGCTTGCTGGAAGTCCAAGCCCCTTACCCACAAAACCTCCTTTACCCCTCTCTCCAACCCTTTCGAGGACGACCCCTACCCCGCCTTCCTTCCCCTATAGATTTATATGCTTTCCATGTCATTCTACTTTGATCCATTCTCACTAAATGACCAAACCACCTCAACAACCCCTCTTCTGCCCTCTGACTAATACTTTTATTAACTCCACACCTTTTCCTAATTTCCACACTCCGAATTTTCTGCATAATATTTACACCACACATTGCCCTTAGACAGGACATCTCCACTGCCTCCAACCATCCTCTCTGCTGCATTACCACCCAAGCTTCACACCCATATAAGAGTGTTGGTACTACTATACTTTCATACATTCCCTTCTTTGCCTCCATAGATAACGTTTTTTGACTCCACATATACCTCAACGCACCACTCACCTTTTTTCCCTCATCAATTCTATGATTAACCTCATCCTTCATAAATCCATCCGCCGACACGTCAACTCCCAAGCACAGATATTATGATTAAATAACCTCAGAACTGTAGTGTTTCCACTCCTTCAGAGTGACAGCACTGTACTTTCCACCACCAGTTAACCAGTTTCCCTGAATCCTTCCATAATAAAATCACAGTGCTAAACCTGAAAGGGTCTTTTAATGCTGAAATCCTTTCCTAGATGTTGCCCTGCTTACATATTTGGTCATTTGACCAAGGCATTTCACTGACTATTTAGTCCACCTGTAAAAACTAAAAGATCACATTAAAAAATGTGATGGTAGGATTACCATCCCATATGCAACACAATGGATCATTACCCATTAATGTCCAAGAATAGAATGCTAATAATACTTCCAGTTGTACGTCTTATCTGACTTGTGATTATCCAGTCTGATAAATGTTTATTATATTCAATGAAAACTACATATATAAATTACTTTTAACAATTCAATAACAACATTTTTATGTTAGGGATAAATGACCACAATAAAATTAACAACAGTGCAATTAACATAATTTATTGTTTCTCCTTAATCAGAATATGTATTTTTAGTGTGATGATAATACAATTTAAGGGGACAATGTATTAATTTTACAACATTTTAATTGTTCAACAGGTGATGTCAGAAGAATCTGGAGCACTTATGCTTGCGATTCCTATATGTGGCCTGGTGGCAGTGACTGTGAACTTGGTACTTGCTCATCTCCTCACCACATTTCCACATTTTCCAGGTGTCATACTGGCCCTCAATCTCACCCTACATATTCTCATCCGATATTTTACTCCACATTTTGCTGGAAACATGACCTCACTGTGTGATGTTGAGGGGAAAACACACCTAATTTCCATTGGTTTTCCTCAGTGGTTTAGGGATTCCATTAAAGATACTTTCATAAATGAACCCTTCTTGCTTTTGCCCACTTCGCTAGATATTTTTTCATGTCATAAAGTGCATTTAAGTGTCATGGCCATGATGGGTTGTGCATGTTCCATATTGCTATTAATATTAGCAAGAGTCATGTAGTGAATGCTGCATACTTGCCCATAAATCAGAAATTTGGGAGAAAGTAATTTATTTAAGATAGGAATTAGTGTTAGGGAAAGTATTACTCTATATAAATTTTTGTAGACAACTTCATGAAACTGATAAATGTTTATTTTCTTACGAGTGTTTTTTAACGATTTAGCAAAACAATTGTTATAAAAGTAGTTCATCATATTTTTTTTATTATTATTATTATTATTAACACATCAGCCGATTCCCACCAAGGCAGGGTGGCCTGAAAAAGAAACTTTCATCATTCACTCCATCACTGTCTTGCCAGAGGGATGCTTTACACTACAGTTATAAAATTGCAACATTAACACTCCTTCAGAGTGCAGACACTGTACTTCCCATCTCCAGGACTCAAGTCCGGCCTGCTGGTTTCCCTGAATCCTTTTCATGTTACTTTGCTCACAATCCAATAGCACGTCAAGTATTAAAAACCATTTGTCTCCATTCCCTCCTATCAAATATGCTCATGCATGCTTGCTGGAAGTCCAACCCCCTCACATACAAAACCTCCTTTACCCCCTCCAACCCTTCCTAGGCCAACCCCTACTCTGCCTTCCCTCCACTACAGATTTATACACTCTCGAAGTCATTCTATTTTGTTCCATTCTCTCTACATGTCTGAACCACCTTTTTGGTTTGCACAATATTAGCAAAGTAGAAGCAGGGGAAAAAAACACTCAAACGAGTGCAGGCTGTCAGCATGAGTTTTATTTTTAATTGCAAAATACTAGACGCTTTTGGCAAGTGTAATGAAATGCACTGACTAGGCCTAAATTGTCTTTTTAGCCATCTCTTTCCAAGGTAGGGTGACCCAAAAAAGTAAGCATTTATCATTCAGCAGTCATTTTGGGTAAATGCTATGAAATACCAAGACAATGTTAAGGGGGACAAATGCAGTTAAGATATGTGCAACACTTGGGTACCTTTATTACCAAAACAGTGCACAACAGGCTTCTTCAGTCAAATTCAGGCTAATATAACACCCTGAGACAGTAGTAATAGTAGTTTTATAAGTGATGTCTTTCAATCACAGTAGGAGTGCTGAATCCTCCAGCCTAGAGCAGAAGCATATGTTCACACTCTTGTACTGTAGATAAATTAAGGTGAAGCTGCTGGAGGTGACATTGAAGGTTGAGTGTGGCCTACTAGAGGAAGTAACTCATACTAAGCAATAGTTTAGCAAATGAATTGCAGAAGACTTCCTCTGTACCAAGACACCATAGTGTTACTGTGTCAGACAAATATTATATTATTGATGGTATACTATAACATATTGGCTGCACAACTCTTGCTCGAGGGATTAACCATTCTTGCCAAAGCTGTGGGACTGATCACCTCAGAACTACTTATACTGTCTCCAGTGTTGTTAGCACCTGTATTCAACCAAAGAAGCCTGTTGTGCAGGCAGAGCATTGCAGCAACAAAGATACCCAAATGTTGCACATGTCTTATCAGCCTGTCAGTATTGTCTACCATCAAATGCAGTTATAGATAAACTATATTGACACTTTTGCCTGTAGCTGAATCAACACCCTGTAATTCTATTAATTAAAATTTGACTGGCTACTTCAACCCCCGGCATTCTAAGGAACCAGACACTGGACCATGTTTAAGGAACGATAAATCAGGACTTGAGTCCTGGAGATGGGAAGTACAGTGCCTGCACTCTGAAGGAGGGTGTTAATGTTGCAGTTTAACTGTAGTGTAAAGCACCCTTCTGGCAAGACAGTGATGGAGTGAATGATGGTGAAAGTTTTTCTTTTTTGGGCCACCCTGCCTTGGTGGGAATTGGCCAGTGTGATAATAATAATAAAAAAATCAAGCTTCTATCATACCTTATGCTGAATGACACACTGAGGTTTAGCACTTAACTAATAATTTAATGCGTAAATGAGATCTGCCCTGACTTTGCCTTATTAAAAGTTGTCAATAACCCTCAGTCTATTACTTGGAGGTTGTGCTGCCAACAAGAAAGAAGACAAAGACATATCATATTAGCCCTTATCAGACAATGTTAAACTCCAAAGTGAACTTTTTCATGTCATGAAAGATATTATCCAAGTCTTTTTCTGCTACATATATCTGTCTTCATTTGTGATAACATGTTCTTACAGGAGTAGAGCTGTATTTGTAATATACCATTTTGTGTTTGGTTTGTCATATAATTTTTATAAAAGTTTTCATTTTTTTTTTAATATGTGCAATACTACATACCTCTTATCTCTTGAAAAGCTGATCACTATTTGTGAAGGAATACTACCTAGCATCTTTTAGCACCTTATTTATTTATTAGTTTCCTGTTGAATTCTTTTGTTCTCCATTGAGGGTGATAAAAAACATATGCTACAAATACTGGATCAACCAGGTTGTGGTGGCTATGTGGGCCTATGGACCACATAGTCGCACAACCTAGTTGACCAGGTTATCAACAGGGAATCCCTCTAAACTGGTCACAGGTATGTCACAGGTATTATTTTAGGATTTTATATATGTTATCTTTTCTACTCTTTTCTAAATTTATAGACATTTTTGTTAATGTCTCAGAGATCTAACTTATATTGTCACATTACATTTTTCATACTTCACTGAATTCTTGATCAAGTGACATCTCAGTCCTCCACTATCATATTGACCTCCACTTATATGTGGATCTGACTCGCACCTATTTTCATCTCGTCCAAGGAATATATATATATATGCTGAATGCATCCTTTGTACTTGAAAAGGCTCTAGAGCAAAATCTTGTCCAAATAAACACTTGTTCTTTGTA